CTCCTGGGGAGCCCCCCCACTTGGGCGTGTCTGCCGGGCGCCCCCTGTCCTGGTGGTGGCTGGGCCTCCGCTTCTGCCCTCACAGCTGGACAGTGGTGTTAGCCCTGCCTGCAGCCAGCTCTGACCCTGCAGCACCCGGGGAGGGGCCGAGGCCCCCTGTGAGCCCGTGGGCCCAGGTCTCATCCGCCCCCTGGGCTCGGGGTGACCTTCCTGCCTCTTGGGAAGCCCTGGAGCAGCCCCGGCCATGGCCCGTGCAGGGGCGGGGGCCGGGGGCCCACTTGCCGTGGGCGCAGGGTCTCAGGCTTCACGCCTGTGGTCTGGAAGCCTCTGCGGGGCCGGGGCCGGACCGAAAGTGAACAGCCCTGAACCCGAGGGTAGCGGGGACCTGGCCGGGCTGCGCTCGTGCTGTGGCCGTCCCAGGGGGCCTCCTGGGGGGCATCTCCATGGGCTCCGCGCTGAGGGCGCCTGTGGTACAGCTCGCCCGTCTCCCTCCTGCCCCCTTCCGCGGGGACCCTTCCCTCTTGGCCTGTAGGGGCGTCTCTAGTGCAGGAGAGGGCAGAAACCCAGCGGAGCCCACGCGGAACGCTTTCCAGCTCGTTCCTAGACGTCGCCCTGCTGGCCGCGTGGCTGCTGCTGACCACCGTCTCTCTCGCCAGGCCGGGTGCTGCGCGGATGCCGTCGGGGGCTCCCCACCCCGACCGCGTGTAGACGGGTGCCACTGGCCCCGGCGTCCCCCGGTCCGTGAGTCGCACCAGCCCTCGTGTCCAGGGCCCACGGGTGGCCCCTGTGGCCCCACCGGCGGGAGCTCTCGGGACAAGTCAGGGCCGGCTGCCCAGCCCCGCGCCACGGGACGCGCCCTGTGGACGGGCCGTGTCGGCAGAGGGCGGCCCGGCCCGCGGGGAAGTCTCGCCCACCATGAGGACGCTCCTCGGCGCGCTCTGGGTGGCGCTGGCCTGCGGCTCCGTCCACGCCACCCTGTCAAAGTCGGACGCCAAGAAGGCCGCCTCCAGGACGCTGCCGGAG